ACTTGATACCATAGCATTTTTTTTTCTAATAAATTGATTTTCTTATTTCTGATTGTACTATTTATTAAAGATATTTTTTTTTTAATCTTTTCACACTTGATTCGTTTTTTATTAGAATCAGTTGAAAGTCATTTTTTTTTTCCCCATGTGTGGGTGCGTCTAGTGTCAAGCCGTTTATTTGGTTTGCTGTTTTTTTTTTGGAAGCCAGAAGAACTGGTGGAGAACACGGGCAGTCAAATACCAAGCTATTTTTTTTATGATACGTACGGCAAGGTAGGGGAAAAAAGTCTTCTTTCACAGGTTAACTTTTTTTTTCATATGTTAGGTACAGTCGTTATGTTTAGATGTTTTTTGGTCAGCTTTTTTTTTTTTGTTTGTGSTCGWAGYAGGGTTACTTTATAAATAAGTCGGCTTCCTCCAACGTCTTAGTAAGTACACCTTCTTAAAATAGTTAAAGTTTTAACATAGAACTTTTTTTATAAATAATAGCTACAATCGTTGACAAAATCCGTATAAATTTTCCTCATTTCAAGCAACATTTTTTTTCAATTTCATCCCCCCTGAATCCCTAAATGCAATGCTGTCATTTATCATGTTTTTTTTTTACACATCCGAAACAAGACCCAACATTGATGAAAGGGGGCTAAGGGGGGATTTTTTTTAAAAATAAAGTAGAGAATGTTAGGCTGGAGACAAATAATTCTATGGTCAAAGGTTTTTTGGCAACGATTGTAGATATCTGTGTAGATACTGCGACAGTTAGTTGTATCTTTTTTTTGATGTTCTATAGTCATAATATTTCTCAGTAGGCGATCTGTAGGGATGCCATTTTTTTTGTTGCACATGAGTTCTAGTAATTTTTCATGTCCGCAAACACAGAACGTTATTTTTTTTGTAGGTTGTTAAGCTTTGCAGCGACTTCTGTACTCAAATAGAATCACAATTCCTTCAACAAGATCTCAGTGATCAGGTAAAATACATACTTTGAGTTTTCCCTAGCCTTTTTTTTTGGCTACTCCTAAGGAAGTGGAATTTTTAGGCCCTTGGTCTGCCTGTGTTGTTTTTTTTGGCCGAGTAGGAATCCCGTCTTAGTCTGYTAAGGAGGCTAAGTTTTCCCATTTTTTTTATAACCTTATTTGCTAGCCCTTCTTGAATGATTTCTATTGTCACCATTACTTTTTTTTTTCAGGTCATCAAGAATTTAGTTTATCTTGCAAAGGTTCTAATTCTTTACTTTTTTTTCAGTTCCCAAAGGACTGGGAATGAATTCACCTTGGTAACGCTCTTTGGTATTTTTTTTAAGTTGGCTACCCATGAGGCATCGCAAGCACCAAAGATAACTTCGAAGGTTTTTTTTTTTGATTGATCAATGGACTGATTGATTGATTGATTGATGAATGGATTGAGTTTTTTTTTGATTGATTGATTGTTGATTGATTTATAAGCTGAGTGACTGATGGACGCCTTTTTTTTTTGGGTGAGTGATTGATCGATTGATTTTTCATTATTTCAGCGTTCATGTGCAATGCGATGGATAGCTGCCATCTCCATGGTTCTTGGTAAAGATAACATCATGCCATACTTTTTTTTCATCGTCCAACCCATCCACCGAGAATTAGAAATCAAAACCACTTACAAAGTTTTTTTTTTTTGCATTGCAATTCTTAAGCAGAATACATCCACTAATTTCTAGGAAAATTTTTTTTAACGTCAAACATCCTTTGACAATTTTTTTTTATCCTTAACCCTTTCGTTTTTTTTTTTTCAGTCTTATTTGTATTTTATCTCTGTTTTTTGCTTGACATTCTTGTTGATTTTTTTTCCCGAGCTACAAAAGGTGACACAAGAGGTATTGGAACTAGTGAAAGGAATTTTTTTTTGTGATTCTGTGTCACGTGTTTATGCGAGTCTCCAAAGTGACGTCACTGACCTTAAAGAAAAACGGAAGAAGAAAAGAGCTTTAGAGGTTTGTAAGAAAAACAATATTTTTTTTTTTGAATTCATACCTATTATTATTCGTATTTATTGTATGCTATAGGCTGTTGCTTTTTTTTAACAGAGCGCACGAAAGAAGATGAAACGGAATTTATCGAAAAAGGAGGCGCGAAAACGCAAAATTGATAAATTCAAACCTGAAAGGAAACTTAAGAAGACACGATTTGTTTTTTTTGAGGACTAAGTTTTTTTACTTATTTGTTATTATAAGTCAATTTTGACAACTTTTTTTTAATCTCCTGATGACATAATGCTCAAAAAATAATCAGAAACTTTAAAAAAGTTTTTTTTCCTTGCGCCTCGTCTTTGTACGCGGTTGGACCGATTTAAAAAGTTGATTCTTTTTTTTAAAGAGCGTTTTAATTATTCTAGTATAGTAAGGATCGAAGACAGAAAGTATTTTTTTTTTAAGCTGAGAACCAACGGCGTTTGGCGCAAAAACAGAGAGGGATATTTTTTTTTTTTTGTGATACAAAATGAAATACATAAATGCAACAATAATTATGTGTCATTCTTTTTTTTTAATGATAACTAAACGCCGTAGGGGTATGGGCTAGTTCCGTTATTCACTCTTTTTTTTTCTCCCTTCCCATCCTGTTCCACTCTCCTGCCATCCCCAATGTCTATATCATTTTTTTTATATATGAATTATCAAAAAGATRAACAATCGATCAAAATAAGCAAATAAATTTTTTTTAAAGAGAGAAAGAAGTTGATCTGAAAGTGATGCCGAACGTAGAACTATTATTTTTTTTCCTGTGGTATTAACCCGAAGAGCACTGTGGGAAAACAAACATGGTGGACGAATGAAAAGAAAACGTTTCATTCTTCATCAATTATTTCTCAGCAAATTCGGTCAATAGAATTACACGATTGACTTTATTTCCAACAAGAAATATGCCAGTAGTACAAAGAAAGCAATTTTTTTTAGAWAACACCGAAACAAACAGTCAAAATGGCGTAAAGAAAGACAACAATGTTTTTTTTAGACAAAAAATCGAGAAAGGCGGCACAGTAAAGCGATCCAAGGCAAAGGATTTTTTTTGTGTACGGATCCTTCCTCGAGTCATTGCTGTTGTAGTATTAATTGCTGCCTTTTTTTTCGCAAGAGATGCTTTTCTAGAGAGCTACCTCGTAGAGACAGGGGAATTAATTTTTTTTACAGTCGAAGATCGTTTTCCAAGAAGATTTCTTCAGGTCAAATGTTCAGATTTTTTTTGTACAGATTTTAAGGAATGTACACCCAAAAARTGCGGTCGAGTTATCATGTTTTTTTTTGTCACCTTAGAAGAAGCCTCAAGTCTAGTAAAACTGGCTAAAAAGGGCATGAAATACGGGAAATCCTCCGGTGGGCCTACGATCTTAGATCTTCACACAGGCGCTCTTTTTTTTTAAGAAAAATTCGTTAACATCTATAAAATAGCYGAAAAGCTTGGAAAAGATTTTTTTTTCAASAAAGAAGACTTTSAAATCTACCGYCAAGTAAAAAATAAAGTCCATGTTTTTTTTTCAAAGGAGTTTAAGGTTGATAAAAGCAAGCTTTTCCTCACTAAGCCAACT